GTGAAGGTTGGGAATTGTATTTGAACCAGTGAATATAACTGGTCAGAGCTTTCATTGGTTTACTGATGATAGGCACCACACCATCACAAAGCATCTCTCTACCAAGATGCTTTGATTTTGCTGCCAACAAGATCTTGTTGAGGGATATGAGGGTAAGTTCCAGTTTTTTGAGTTGTTGACTTGTTTGTCACTGGTAATTCCGGTTTAGCTTCGTCAAGTTAAACCACTATTAATTGGGAGTCAAATCTAAATGAGTCTGTTTTCCAGAAAGATGACCATGAAAACCGATATTTTAGTAACCGAGGGACTGACTGTACGAATGGTTTCCACAGGCCAGATTCAGCTGTAGATTTGATATTTTCATTAGGGCATTTTTAGTAGTTTATACAAAATCAGTCATATGCATATGAGACTATACTCATCCTAATTTATCCATTATATGTTTCTCTTTTAAAGGCGTGTAGTTCAATAAGACCGCTAAATAAACGTAAATAACATTTGAAATTTTCATAAGTTTCTCAAAGTTCTTCATATTAGAACTTCCATTCTTTTATTACATTTTCTATATTTGTATTTGTTTATGAAACCCTCCAGATATAAAACCAGATATCAACTCATTAAGGAAATTTGCATGAGACTCAAAATATCCATTGAAAATGAAAACACTTCATACTCTCAATGGACATGCTCACAAACACTTTTTGGTCTCTTAATTTTCCAATCCTTTGGTCTCTAAAGATGGCAAAACCAGAGGTTTGAAACCATTTCGAAGAGCAGCTTCCCAAACTCTTGGAGGATTAACCATTGGAAGGTCAAGACCACACTCATGTTCCTCCCATCCTTCAAGCGCGTGCACTATTCCACCAACTCTCCACGCGCTCATCACTCTCCTCCCCAGCCAATTCTATTTTGATCCAAAACATGTGTTATATATCATATCATAGTTAGCTTTAATATAGTTTTGCTAGAGTTACAAAACATGTATATACCTCACAAGAATCGATGTTTTGGGCAGATTTGGGGATGATCATAGCTGGAGTCGTATGGTAAAAGCAGTCTTTTCGAAGTTGGTTAGGAGGAAACTGCGAGATGGGAAGAAAGAGAGTTCCCTTTTTGGCCATCTTCTGCTCTTCTTTGCTTAGCCCATCTCCCACCAACCAAATCTACATCATATGTTATGTTACATAGGTTTATGAAAATAGTACTTATTAGCGTTTACAAAAAAATGATTGTTATTATGTATTAATACCATTGGGGAGTAATTGGTTGAGAGGACCAAGTTTTCCTTACAACCCCCGCTAATGAATCCGGCTAGCATGCAATGCTCTTCCTCACGTATAACCATTACCTATTTATTTAAACAGTTTATTAAGAATCCAAAAATTTAATATATGAGCTAACTACGGTCAAATGTATAAAACATTGCGAGTATATATTGTAATCCCGAAACCAAAATGCGAAATTCAATTGGACTTAAAGTAGGCCACCTGAAATTGTTTACGTGTAAGAAAGAAGCTATCAACAGACTTCGATTAGATAGATAAATTTTTTGGTTAAAATTAGATAGATAATGACATAACGTTTTAACTTACGGTCGATCATATTCTTACACGCAAAGTAACATTACATAAAATTTTGTAACTATTGAAAACTAGAGAAACGCACACACACACATTTATATATTTGAATAGGTACCTTGATACCATTTTGGCAAAGAGAAATGACAATGGCACGAGCAACTTTTGTGATTCGGCCTCGAAAGAGAACTTCTCTCGTGCCAACGGGAATACTATGAACCACCACCGCAGCTGCAAGACTGCTTCCATCTACTATCCTTATTTTTAGCTTTGGATGCTTCCTTACATACATTTCTCCATACCCATTTAATTCCTCTCCCTAATCATATTATAGTATTAAATAACGGTTTAAAATATGCAATTAATTTCTTTATCGGACATCCTCTATATAGTAGGAATTGGAATCGGAAGGTTGTTGAACATTTCAGAATTTTGATTCCAAAATGTTTCTAAAATAACCTCTTTAAGAACAAATTGGAAGCTTATACTTCCTTTTTGGAATCCTTCTTTCGTTTTAAAAATTCAATATCTTAAATATAAATTATGTGTTTATTCTGTATAAAATCTAAACATTGATCGTAATAAAATGGAGAGAATAGAAATATGAAAATATTAAATTAACACTATAATTTTTTTTTTGTGAATAATAGTTTTACTTATAAGAGATTTTGCATGTATAATATTAATGTGAGATATTAAAAATATTTAATTTGATCGATCAGATAATATTTTTAATAAACTTAATTTGTTGGTAATTTCACAATTATAATATGAAGTGATTGTTCTATTAATTTAAATCTTAAAATAATTAATCATAAATTTTAGAAAATTATTATTATCATAACTTATATATATATATATATCTTCCAACACATATCCACTTTCTATTTTTAGTTAATACTATGGGGTCCATCTCTGGTTAGAATTTTATAACTTAATAATATCTGTCTGATGTATTAACTGCATGCCTGGTTCAGTAGGCCCAAACTCATTACTCTCACATCCTTCTTGTCCGCTTCAAGGATAGCCGTCTCTATCATTTGGTTGATAGATTGCTTTTGCTGCTGCGACTTGTACTGTTAATTGACAAACAAATTTAATTACAAGACAAGTAATTATTTGATATAGATGATTAGAGAAGAGAGAGTAGAGCCAAACATGAGAGGAAAATTTGGGAAGTAGGTGGGAGTGAACGGTGAGATCACGGAAGCGGTTTCTCTCAAAGACAAAGGTCCGAGAAGAGAAAGAAGTTAGTATGAAGGAGATAATGATAGTGAAGGGTCTCATGAGGACTAGGTAACACCGAGAAGATAGTGGCTGCGAAGAGAGGGAAGAAAAGCCAAGTCGGAAATGGTAAATAGAATCCAGTGATGTTAGATGGGTGAGATGAATTGCGTCTGGCTTCTCTTCTTCTTGCTCCAAAGATGTTTTGTACAATGAGTCACTGCTCTTGTCGTTGGTCCCATACATGTAGTCGTACATTGGCATGAACAGAGAATAGTTCGTCCTGAATTGCGTGTGGTGGAGCGAGTGAATTCTGCAGTCATTTATGTATGTTTAGTCTCAAAATTGTATAACGGACACACACAACATGAAGTTCTTGATAGATATATATATCTCAGCATTAATTTACTGAAAAAACAAAAAAAAAAAATTAGGGAGAGACTGTAGAAACAGTTCTGGTAAAAATATTACACAAAAATATGTGAGAGATTACCATTAGTTGTCAGTTTATAATTGATTTAACTCTCTTTTTATTTAAAATTTACTAGTATTATAGACAGTAGATGTTCGAAGTGAATATCTTACTAGTGATGATGCTCTAAGTTATGTCTTGTATTTGGTAACAAAAATTTATACTGTCCTAATAGAAATTTATGTGTAGATTGTAAACGTAAAATAATACAGAGTTAATTGTGAAGGTGCCCAAGGTATGGTGAAGAATCTAGTGGATCTTGAAGGACTTACGAAGGAGTGTACATGAGGTACTTAAGTGGAGGGAAAGTAGAGAAGAGAGATCTCGGAATGAACTCGATGTTGCAGTGACCCATGCTGTTCATAAAATCTACATAACTTACGTACAGAAAAACTGAGGCGACAGAGAGCGTGCCGCATAAATAAGTCGTTACGAAAGGTATCCCCGCGATTATTATTGTGTAACAAATGTGCTCCGCAAATGGATGTACCACCGCTGCAATCAAAATTATGCATGTTATTACTGTACATGCATATGTCATTGTATCAAATCTATTTTAAATATACATATAATTCAAGTTTTACTCATAAATATATATTCATAAAAATCCTGCTAAATACACATTTAAAATGTGTTTTAAATACATATTTATGAAAGTTTTACTAGATTTTATGAAAATATTATACAGATTTTATCAATTTCTTTCTAGAAAGATATTATAATTATCAACAAGGTCTTCTTAAAGTCAAATTTAGAAAGATATCATACACATTTATGAACATTTTTCTAAACTCAAATTCAGAAAACATCATACATATTTAAGATTTTCCTAAACTTTTATTTCAAGAATAATCATCTCCTAAAAATATATATATAAATATAAGAATTCAGAAAAAATATTTCAAAAAACAATTTAAAAGAAATCAATTTTTAAAGAAAAATTTTCTAATTTTTTTTTTTAATTTTTACTACACAATAATTATTTAAATAATATATTTATATAGTAGAGACGTAATTTTTATATACCTCTTTAATGAAACCTATTTTGTGTGTTATTTTAGTAATAATACTTTTTAGGATTATCATAAGATATTTCTCTACGTGAAAATCATGCTTTTTATTATAAAAAAGCAACACCTCTTATTGACATTGTGTTATGACTTTTTTTGTATATACCCTTCAGATAAGTTTTGTTTTGAATTTTCAGTGTAAGATTTATGATAAACCCCATTTTAGCCTCATGTAAAAACTAATACATAATAGTAAAGAGAACATAAATCCAAGAGTTTACTTGTTTCCATAGGAGATAAGTACAAGAGTTTAGCTTTAGCCTCAAATAAACAAGTTAAGGTTTATTTGTGAAAAGTGATAGACATTAATTGGAACGGAGAGTCGGTAACAGGTAGTGCTATAGACAGTTTTTAAACGTTTTGTGAGGAAGTATATATATATATATATATATATATATATATATATATATATATATATATATATATAAAAATTTATAACAGTTAATGTGTACCTACCAGTGATCGGCTCGGTGACGGTGGAGGAGTGATGGTGTGAATGGTAGCGAGAGTAGAGGAAGTGGTGGTGAAGCGCTCTGTGAAACCAGTAGTAGACAAACTCAACCGGACCCGCATGGAGGAGAGCGACTTGAACCACTCCATCGAGTCGCCAAAAAGAAAGGGTACTGGTTCCTAAGAAATACAGTTTGGCTAAGTAAAAACCAAGAGCGTTGAAGATGACCTGATCGTCCCAGGTACGTTCTCGGTCGACTTGATCAAACTCTATGGATTTGTTCACGATCCGTTTGGTTCCTTTAGCAGTTAGGTACCGGGCAAAACTTATCCAAATCTGGGCGTGAACAATCCGCCACACCGTTAGGGCCACTATCAAAAGTTTCTCGCCATCTCGCTTTGACGCGTACGAGTATATGCTGTCGATAACTAGCGGCGCTAACAGCAAGTACTGCAATATTTATCCATATTTTATACAAACATTATGACTAATGGCTGATTTAAACAATAGCTTATAAATGCATATATTTATATGAAGGTTGCCAAAAATAAATGCATATATTAATATCTTATAAAGCAACATGAGCAGTAAAATAGACCTTAAAGCTTCCAAGAGGTGTCCATGGCCAATCCGTGAGAAGACCTGGTCTCGACGCCATTATTTTTTCACTCAAATGATGAATACTACTACTACTTGGTCACGTCACCAAATGGTCTTGTTTGTAGGGGTTGTGTGTGTCCGCTACATATTTATATACAAAAACATGTGTTCATCTGCCTGCGACTGCGACCCGTAACCATATTTTGTTTGTTTCATTGTTGTAGGTTGTGACTTGCGATCTGCAGCATAAAACTTGGGATAAAATGTTGTTCGTTTCGTTTTTGCTATAGACAGTGACTAAAAACTTAACGAGCAACACAAATCGTGACTTAAAACAAGACAAACTTTTAGTCAATATATTTCATACATAGAAAATCTCTTTAACATTACTTACATAAAATTTAACTTTTAGTCACTATTTTTTACATAAAATCGTGAATGCAACTAGTTATACATCGATCAGTCAGGCAAGTAAAACGAACAACAATCTCGACTTGTAACCTGATTGCGCGATCAACACGACAACAAAACAAACAATAACCTGCGATTTACAAATGGTCGCAAGTCGCAATCGTAGATCGCTGCGACATGCAAACATACATGGTGATATGAATTAAGTTTAATCCTAAGTATTGATGCAATACTTTAGATGTTAATCCAATTCTAAGAAATCTTTCAGTCAATGAGAATGTAAGACATGTGCCAAATCTAAGCAATATGGTTCAAGTAACAAGTGCGGTTCAAACGCAATAACACTAGGTAACTAATCATGCTTTCAATCAATAGGAATAAGATAACCCATGGGCATAGGCATTTGATATAAGGTGACTAAGATTCTAGTGAAGATGGAAAGCAATTAAGAAACAAGAGTCCTTAAAGCTAGAATACAAAGATAAATCATTTTTTTTTCAAGACACAGACCACTATGATGTCATGCTTTAAACATCAAGTTCC